TATCAAACCTTCTAATATTCTTCACTACAAGTAGTAAAAATTTTCAAAATTATGGATCGAAATCCCTTCCTAGATAAATTATATTCAATTATCAAAAGAGATCAATAGACAACAGCAAAAATAACCATAATAATTAGCCTACATCGACTCCTCCAATCATCCATTTGTTCATTTTTCTATCTGGATCCAGAGCTGTATTACTTTCTAAGCGTAATTCTATAATGGATTTGGCTCAACTTGTGGAAATTTTCGTTGTCTCCTGGGATGTCAAACGATCCTAAAGTCCCAATAAATTTGCCAGTTCTAGAGAAGATTTTTGTTTTATTGAAGCTATACTTTACTTTCTAACGATAATATATTAATGGAATAAATCATAAATTTATTCGGGAATTGAGGAACTCAAAGTTCATTTTCCTTTTAAAATTATTCATACAAAAGCGATTAGACTTTTCTATAACTAGAAATTTCTAAATTTGTTTGGGGCTCCTTTCTTGGTAAGCGTCCCATCTATAATAAAAAGTATAAGCCACCGGTAATTTTACACAAACAACAAAAAATAATAGAGTCATGAAATGAAATGAAATGTCTATGGTTTTAGGTAGAAAAACAAACATTTCAACTGCTTTGCAAGTTAAATACCGGTTTTAAAGTTGGCCTTCAATTAGTTCATTCAAGTATGAGGCTTTGTCTGCTCGATTCTTCAATACAGACGGGAATAAAAATCTTGTTTGAGTTTTTTTCAAACAGTTATATACACTATTAGTTTAGGTTTTATTGTTACACAGATCAAATGATTATATCCATTCGCGAGTACAGTTATTGCATTGGTGACCATCAATATTATAAAATGAAAAAGATTCGTATTTTTCTTGTAATAAAGATTTATAATAATGGCAACATTACCTAAAGCAAAGAATTATATACTGTTTACTGATACATTCGCGATTAATGATATGGACAAAGAAGGCAAAAAATTTGATCGTGGTATGTAATACACACCCGTAATTCAGCTTTTTTATTTCCTTAAATTCACTTCTAATTCATTTACCTCTGGTATTAAGTATCACGGTTCACTGGTAGAGGAGAGAATTTAGAAATGGAATTAACAATAGATATTAATATAGAATTATATCCATTGGATATAGGGGATAAAGTAATGATAATGTTAACAACATCATTATCATTAGATACAGCAAATATAGCGCAGAGTGAAGAAGCCATACTGCCATTCCCTATTATGACTCAAGGTGATCAAACAGAACGACCTTCTTGGAAAGAAAAAACTTCTATGGATAGAGATTTAAGTGATGATTATGAATATATTATGTACGGTAAAGTTTATAAATATGATGAAGAAAAAAGAAGCAAAGTGTAAGTATGC